TTTTTTTTTTTTTTAAAGAAAAGGCAGGGTAAAATACTATTTGAAATGAAGGAAAGATCTGATCAAAAATGAGCTTTCCCACCCAGCTGTGGCACTTTCCTGAGCCCACAAGCACCCACAGCATTACCACAAGAAATGACATAAAAGTAAAAAACATCAAGGACGTAGCTTTTTTTTGTCTCAATTTGCCTTATAACTCTGGCCCTATTGGTCCTTAAATGTTTATAAAATAATCTGAGAAATAGTAGCAGTCCAAAATTGCAGTGTGGCATTGCATGATCATAGACATTATGCTAATGGCATAAGGGATAAATGGGAAATGCTCTTTAAAATGTTCTATAACCAACTGTATCAACTATCTGTGGGCTCCAAGTCTGCAGCCTTATTTGCTTATTTTTAAAGATGCTATTTCTTGTTCATTTATCTACAGTAGGACATAAGAAATAATTAAACTAACGTTCTGGCAAATGCTTTTTTGTTTTTGGAAAATAGGATAAGCATAAAAATTCTAGATAACTACCAATGTTTGCTTCGTCCATTGTGAATTAACAGCTAACAAATTCTTCAAAAATAAGTTGCAACCCATGGGTTTATAAATGGCCAACTGAATTTCAACATCCAAATATAATGAGAATAGTAAAAACACTAGAATGAATATTCTGAGTAATAAAATAACTTTTTGATTAATACATTTAACTCAGTTTATTTAATTTCTTAAATAAGTTAATTGATTAATTAATCTAATTAAATTAATGTCAATATTTATGCTCATTATCAAAACTTGTTCTCATGAACTATATAAATCCAATTTCAGCTAAAAGTAGCTACTCATGTCTAATACAACTTTCTCCGTAGTTTATTTCTCTCAAAAGAACATTGCCATGCTTCTGTATATAGCAATGTTTACTTCCTTTATAATAAGTTTTAGCAAACCAAAAACCAAACCTGTTACCACCGACTCAATTGCAATTGATAGTGATCCCACAGAACAGAACTGCCTCTTCCCCATTTCGGATTCAGAGCCACTCCAAAAGGCCAACCTTGCCGTTAAAAACCCAAAGAGTAACTCTCCACACCAGGAATCCTATCACAAACAAGCCAAGTAGAAAGGCTACAATCATCCAAATTTGGGGTGTTGTAAAACAGCTTTATGTCTTCAAAACCTGTCAAGTGTACAAGATAGTTCAAGAAGAAACAGCACAAAAATTGACTGCCAACTGCATGAATGTGTTTCCTAATAGTTGCAGCACAGTAAAGGAAATGATCACAGGGCTTTTAAGTGGCCAAATATGCTCATTCTAACAAATGAGCAATCTAGAGACCTTGGCCAAGGAGCAAGTGCAATTCACATCCATAACTCACTGGCGAGGTACGCAGCTCTTATTCTTCGGGCAGGTTCCCACATTAAAAGTGAAACCAGAGCTTCAAATTTCCGGCCAACAGCTCCCAGTGAAAAATAAAAGCAGCTACCAATGTGCCTCAGGGGGATTTGTTTCAGGGACTAAAAAAGACCTATTACAGGAGCTCTGGAGGCATAGCGGGTTACACGTCGGGCTGCTAACCACCCAGTCGCAGGGGAACCCACCAGCCACTCCGAGGGAGAAAGATCTCCCTGGAACCCCAAGGCACAGTTGTCCTACGTGGGCGCTAAGAGTCAAGAGTGGACTGCACAGCAGTGAGTGGGCGCTCTCCAACCGGAGTCCTGCAAGCTGCAGGTTCTCAACCAACTGAAGGCCAGGCTTGGTCCACAATCACTTCCGCGCCCTTTCGGCGCTGCGGGGTGAGCGTTGGACAGCTAGCGAATCACACTGACCGGCAGCTCTGAGGGAGAAACTTGAAACTATCTGCTCCCCAAAAGACGTACAGCCTTGGAAACCCTACGTGGGACCGCTGTGTGTCCGAATCAACTCGATGGCAGTGGGTCACTCTGCTCTGCACTGGAATGCGAGGGGCTGCACAGCCCTACCCTACGGTGGAGGGTCGCGCGTCTGGGGGAGCGGGGACCGTGCCGTCAGCCCGGATGGGGAGACCCCTGGGAGACAATCCGCGGCCCTTGCCCTGACGAGGAGCGCCAGCACGCTGGCAGAGAAAGTAAGAACAGCGGCCGAAGCTCAAGGTGAAGGAAACACAGGGTTGCCTCGCGTCCCAGACCCTCTCCCCAAGCACGAAGCTGGCCCACGGCACGAACGAGGTACCTGTCATCACGGAAGACGCGCCATTCGAGTCCCTCTTCCCGCCCATGCTGGGACCACACCGGAACCGCACTTCGTCGGCGACTGCGTCTGTGACAACTCCAAGGCGGGGCGGCGACGGCGGCAGCGGCAGCTGCGCCAGTGAAAGGCCGACACGCGCCTTTCCCGTGGCGCTCACACCGCCGGGCCGCACGTTTGCGCTCTACTTCCGCTTCCTGCTAGCGGAGGCCGGAGGACTTCCGGGTACCAAGTCGCCTGCAGGGCAGCCCAGAGTGTCCAGGGGGCCGCCGTCTTTGCAATACTTAGGGCCCTCCTCTGTCTTTGTTCCCGCCTCTTCCGTGTGGCCGCTTAAAGGAAGGTTTACCCTGCTGCCTGCCAAGGCCCAAAAAGTTGACCAGGAATTTTTACCTTTTATCCAAATTAGACTCCGCGCGCTGTGCAGTCTACGCCCAAAAGCCTTGTTAAAAGCACTGTTTCATTTTAAAGGACAAATAGTCTTGGTGTTTCTGAGCAACTTTGACTTTGTCTTTGGCAAAGAGTGAGACGAGTCTTTAAAAAAAATTAAGCAGAAATTTATTAAAGGAATGTTATGACTGCAACACTTTACAAGTTGGGCAACACTCGATAAAATTATACATTGCTCCAACGTACAAAAATCTGGCTGGACTTTTAGATAGGGTAAGTTTAGGGAAACAGTAACGTTAGTAAGTATTAGAGAAGATGTGTGAGAGTAGGGTTAAATTAGTAGGAAAGCTTGGCAGAGGCTGCTAACAAAGGTGAAGAACGACCTGTTTGCTAAGGAATAGCCGTTTCTTTAACGATTATGATCTTTTGCACAGTGAATGGTATTGCTTGGTAAGTACAAGCATTTGCCATGCGGTCCATCAAACAATTATACAAATTAGTTTCCGATAAAATTATTATGAATGCACAGCTGTCCTAACATGAATTTATACTTTAACACAGGAATGTCTTCATGTTTATTCATATACAGTATTTTCAGGAGCGTTTGTCCAAAATGTAGGATTAGAAGCATTCCACGCAGTTTAAGAGTATTTCTTTGTTCTGATTATAATTAGATTGAATCATAATATTTGTGGGTGAGCCAATAACCCAGGAGGCTATAATGTCTAACATGTATGGCTTGTTTAAAAGTTATGTTAAAATTAATGGTAGCAGGAGGTACAAAATGTATTCACTAGAAGAGAAACCAATAGATTTGAATGTTCATGTCCAGATGGAGAATGATGACAAATTTCAACATTCAATTAAATTATTGGCATTAAATACTTGTAGGACTAGGGTAACAAATGTATTTCTCTCAAAGCACAAGAAGTATTATTAAGAAAACAAAACTCACTGCCATCAACTCAATACTAACTCATATCAACCCTATAGGACAGGGTAGAACTCCCCCTGTGGGTTTCTGAGCCTGTAACTGTTGACAGGAGTAGAAAGCCCAGTCTTTCTCCTGCAGAGCGGCTGGTGGTTTCCAAGTGCTGACTTCCCAGTTAGCAGCCCGACCCATAACTGGTTATGCTCCCAGGACTGCTCTTGATGCACCTAAGTATCTTATTTTCAGGAGGTTTTGAACTGCTGGCCTTGCAGATCAGAACCCAATGTTTAACCCACTACATCACTAGGTCATCCATTATTAAAAAGAGAAGTATAAAATTTAAACAGTTTTCCAATATGAATAGGCTAGTAGGGAAGAAGTTTAAAATAATACAGCACAAGGAATAGCTTTAAAATAGCTACAATTATAAAGTCCAAACATTTTCATAGACTGCAGTCTTATTGTATGACTTTGGGGTCATAGAGACAACTTCAGCTGTCTGCTTCTGGACATAGGGCATCCAAAGACGTGTTCTTGTTCCTGTTATCTGACAATGTGCTAAGACGTAGAAATGTATTAAAAAGAAGCAACTAATAGAAAAATTTAGCATTCAGAATCTGTAATGCATAAATATGTTTCTTTAGAAATAAATATTAACAAGAAAGCTTAAAATATGGCTGTGTTTTAGTAAAGCCAAATGGAATCATCCTTTAAATATGCATGTATTCGTTCTTATTTCCATGACTTTTATCTCTAGGAACTGTAATACTCATGGGCACTTTGAATTCAATGTCATGAGCAATCTCAAACTGGTCTGGCAAAGTTAGCCTTATTGGCTTCATATCGTTGCAGGGTGGGCTCAAAGAGTACCCATGTTGCTCTGTCACCACTGCCAGGTTACAGAAACCAGATGGATGGCAGGGAATTTGGTTGGGATTAATTATATGTTGTAATTTTTTAAATCATTTTATTGGGGGCTCGTACAACTCTTATTACAATCCATACATACATACATGTGTCAAACACATTTGTCCATTTGTTGCCCTGATCATTCTCAAAACATTTTCTTTCTACTTGAGCCCTTGGTATCAGCTCCTCATTTTTTCCCCTCCCTCCCTGCCCTCCATCCCTCATGAACCCTTGATAATTTAGAAATTATTATTATTTTGTCATGCCTTACACTGTCCGACGTCTCCCTTCACCCGCTTTTCTGTTATCTGTCCCCCAGGGAGGGGGTTATATGTAGATCCTTGTGATCAGTTCCCCCTTTCTACCTCACCTTGTAAAAATTTTAAGGGAAGGTGACATTAGCAATTCCCCATGATGAAGTCAGTCATTCTAGCCATGACTTAACACGGGGGCCATCATTGTTTACTACTGAAGACGTTAGAGGAAAATGTATATTGCCCATGGCTGTTCTTGTTCCCACTGGAGAGAGATCTCACTTGTTTCTTTTCTTTTTTTTAAATAAATCATTTTATTGGGAGCTCTTCCAGCTCTTATAACAATCCATACATCAATTATATCAAGCACATTTGTATGTATGTTGCCATCATCATTTTCAAAACATTTTCTTTCTACTTTAGCCCTTGGTATAGCTCCTCTTTTTTCCTCCCACCCCCCCCCCCTCATGAACCTTTGATAAATTATTATTGTTTTCATATCTTACACCACCATCCGCTCTCTCCCTTCACCCATGTTTCTGCTGTTTGTCCCCCTGGGGATGGGGGCGGGGGTTATACATCCTCATTGAGATCAGTTCCCCCTTTCTGCACCTTGTCCCCCGACCTTCCCCCTAACCTCATAGTATTGCTACTTCCATTATTGTACCTGAGGGGTTAATCTGTCCTAGATTCTGTGTGTCAAGGGCTCTTACCTGTACCAGTGTACATGCTCCAGTTTAGCCAGATTTGTAAGATAGAACTGGGGTCATGATAGTGAGGGGGAGGAAGCATTAAAGAACTAAAGGAATGTTGTGAGTTTCATCAGTGCGTCACTGCACCTTGGTTGGCTCGTCCCTTTTTTGTGACCCTTCTGTGAGGGGATGTACAGTTGTCTACAGATGGCCTTTGGGTGTCCACTCTGACCCCCCTTGCTTGCATTGATATGATTGTTTGTTTTGGATCTTCAAATGCCTGATACCTGATCCTGTCGACACCTCATGATCAGACTGGCTGATATGCTTATTCCATGTGGGCCTTGTTGCTTCCCTGCTAGATGGCTGCTTGTTTAACTTCAAGACCTTAAGACCCCAGCTGGGCACCACCAGCTTTCTTCACCACATTTGCTTATGCATGCATTTTTACTTCAGTGATCATGTTGGGAAGGTGAGCTTCACAGAATGACAGGTTATTAGAACACAGTGTTCTTGAGTTGAGGGAGTACTTGAGTAGAGGCCCAATGTCCATCTACTACCTTGATACTTAACATATAAATGTATGTTCAGAGACCTATATTCCTATCACTGTATATTAATATATTTACATATGTACATGTCTTTATTTATATATGTATGTCTTTTACTTCCTGTTTCTTTCCTCTGTTGCCTTTTACTTTCCTCCTGTCCCACTATCATGTTCAACCTTCATTCGGTTCCCAGTAATCTAACTTGTTTCTAAAATAAATAAAAACATCGCAGTAATGGATAAAATGATGAAGTTGAGAATGAGAATTAAGTGGATGTTCTTATTTGCCTACTATATATACAAATCCTATGAATGATATTGGAGCCCTGGTGGTTAAGCATTGGGCTATGATCTGCATGGTCAACAGTTCAAAACCACCAGCAGCTCCACAGAAGACTGAGCTTTCTGGTGACAGTCTCAGAAACCCACAGGGGGTTGCTATGAGTCAGCATTGACTTTATGGCAGTGAGTGAGTGGGTGATGAAAGATATTAAAAAGCTTAGTGTTGGGTGACAGACAAACTGGAGTGGTAAAGCCTAGGGCAGAGATGCCAATATCCCTGGCACCAAAGAGCTACAAGTATTTTATATATTAAAATCAATCATCTAGAATAGAGGTGGGCAATGTCTGGCCCTCAGGCCATATTAGGCCAATGAAATCATTAATACCAGATAACATCACAAGCTTCACCAAAAAGAAGCAATTCCAGCCATCACATTAGGGATGGATTAATTAAATATTTGACCCAGTAAAGCAGGCTAATCTTTAAGTTGATCATTTTGTGTGGCTTGTAAATGGTGTTATAAATATCCAAATGGATGTTGGCAGAGAAAAAGGTCACCTTCCTTCTGTTGAAGTAGTCTGTATGGTGGCTTCAGGAAGAACATTCAGTGCTGGGGATGGATACTTTCTCAGGTTATTCCCCAATTCTATTGATAAACTGGCTGAAGAACAATCACAGTCGTGGTCTCTTTAGGTTGCAAGTGTGAAGAATAATAGATTTTGCTGTCATTCTTGTCTTAGATGGTATAGGTTTCGGAAACACCACCAAGAAGAGCGTCTTGTCAACTAATTATAATGCTTAGTATTGGCAATAAATATAGTTTTTAAATGCGTCTGATAGTGTAAGCTCAGATAATTAGAACAGGAAAATGGCACACTGAAATGAAATATATTCAGCTGACTAGTTTATGCTCCCTCCCCCATTTACCCTACCATGGATGACTTAGAAAGTCACTGCTGCTGCTGCTGCTGCTGCTGCTGCAAGCCACACATAGAGAAACTGCCTTGGGCTGGGCCAATCCATTT